CGCGCCGCGCCGCCTCTACTGAAACGGAACCCTTGCGACGCCCTGGAAGGAAACCCGCACTTCCTCCTGCTTCTCGGAACTTCGCTACGCCTGGCGTCATAGACTCGTTTAATATTCGAAAATAAATCTACATAATCTATATTTTTGTCGCTCATGTAGCGAATACTACGATATATGAAAATTTTTCGTAAACGAAAGTAGTTGAAGTTCGTTTTCAATCACAATGACACATGATGTATGAAACGTACAAGAAGCAATAAAAGGAATCATTCGATACTGCTTTTGTTGCTTTTTAATTCAATTGAAATAAATTGTATCTTGCGTAGGAATTACTTTGTTACCTGCATCATATTCAGGAATTACTTTACGTTGCTTCATTTCATTTTGGAAGGTCCACACAAATGGATGACTAAGTGAAATATAGTGCTAAACACTCATATGACAAATGTGACAGTATTATATAAATATACCGGCATATATCTCTCTGGCCAACAATGTATAACGAAAGTATACTGCCTGTTTCCAATTATTTTTTTATTTATTTACTTTTTACTTCTGTGCCCTTTTTGCAGAGATATTTTATGTTAAATGTAAGCACATATCCGTTCTTGCGTGCAGTCATAATTATTGAGTTGCAGGGGCTTTGGTGTGTTAAGAACTTACACAATCAACGTGCTTATTGGACATCGAATAATACTAATACAGTAATATTTTTTTATTTCTTTCAATGGATTTCGTAAATCATCTTGTTCATTAAAATTCGAATTAAGATCAATTTTTCTTATTCATTCATTAAAATCTCTCAGATATTCATCAATATTCATTAAAATCTCTCAGACATTGAATTCACCCAGGCCTTGATGCGTTGAGGTTTTTGACAATTTTAATTTAGAACTTAATTAGTATCTCAAATAATAATTATTTCTCTTTTTAATTATTATCTGAAGTAAAATATGAACATTCTGTCTGACCAGATGATCGTCAAATTGTAAATTTATTCCAGTCCAATGTGTTAATGAGAATCACGTGTTTGCAATACCATTTCCGTTCAGATAAATGCATTTGTAACTCAGTTTTCATGTGTACCTCTTCATCGAATTATTATGATCCCTAGCTGGCCAATATGAATTGAATATGGTGTATGAAAAGCAAAGGTTTAATTAGTAGCGTGACCATGCTACCTTCCTTGTGCTGGTAGTTAACACGGAAATCATGTAACGCGGGTCTCACACGGAAGAGTCTTTTAATGCCACTAAGAGCATCGACGAATACGTAGAGGGAGAATTTTTTTAAGGCTTCTGTGCGTTACATTTAGCAGTGAGCATTGTTCATGACTTTAGTTCGTTACGTGAGTAGCAAAGCAGCAGTAATCTGCTGCTAACATTTCCTTAGAGCTTTTTTTTTCCTCGTGAGAGCGCTGTTTATATAAAAGTCGGCGGCCTTCCTTCATTAAACTTGTCAGTGCGCCTTCATTAGCTCTGTGAAGTCTGGAGTTTAACGCCTGCATGCTCCATTCGCACGCTAATCAAGGAGGCCGGGCTGGGGACTTCCCCTAATACGATTTCGTCGGATTTATCAGAAGCAGGCGTGCGTCCTCTTGATTATGAATTAGGCAGGCGGGCGTCCCCTTGAAGCCGCCACCCCTTTGTGGGAGCGGAGCGGCTCGTGTTGGCGGCGGCGGCGGCGGCGGCGTCAGCGGTTTTCGAAAGGGGGCCCATTGACATGCAGCGCGAGGGGAACGGAATGCCATTACGAGCAGGAGCTCTCTCGGGAAACCATCGCCCCCTCCCCCGCCCCCTCCCTCTGCCCAGTGGGCTCTTCGCGCGCCCTGGCTCCGCGTCCCCCACCCCCAGCCTGACCCCTTCCCTTCCCTTCCAAAAGTTCCTGTCTCGCACCCAGCTCCCTTCTCCCTGGGCTTCGTCGGGGCGACGCGGAGTGTATATTTCGATTTATTTACAGAGTCCGTTGACGTTTGATTAGCTGTTACGGTGTTATTCAATCGGGAGCTTCAACGTCACTACTGTAGGTGTCATCCAAGTTCCCGATTTGGTGACGGACTCAGTTTTTAAATCGAAGTATATTGGTCAAATTGCTCGCCTTTCTATGCCGCGACAAGGGATGAAATCCCAGACGATCCGGGTGAAATTTGCGACGATAAAAGTGGGTTCGCGACTGGTTTTCTCGGCGTTCTACCGTTCCTTCTGCATCGTATTTCATCATGTTTGCGTTATTCTTGTAATCACAAACACTTGTCCATTAAACATTTTTCGTCGACTTCAGTACTGGCTGAATGGTTAGGGAAGGAGATCATATCACTAGGCTAGACACTGGAATCATATATTTGCGACTTGGCTTCTTCATCTCGGCTCAACTCTTAATGATAGCGTTACCCCGCCGCCTGGTACCGTATGTGTTCGTCACTCTGTCTTCATTTTACAAGGTTTTACTTTTTTCCGTAAGTATCTGCTCTGGTGGATTCCTCGATTCCCACATTTTCTCGCGTTCTTTAATTCCTTTCCCTCATACTTCAAACACGTTGATGCTTCTTCCCCGCATCTCTTTTACTTCTCCCAAACACACACACATTTGTACATCATGCCTTCCTACTCTTCACACCATTTCGTCTCTATATATTCAAATGCTCTTACCTCCTTCTTATACGTCCAGATTTCTCCCTGTACTATATCCTCTCAGATCCACCCGACAGAGTCATCCCTTTCAGAGTGTTATACGATCTCAGAACACTTTGCTTTGCGCACTCCCCTTATTCCATACTCGGCCGCGTCCACGCGCCTCTAGCACCGCGGCCGCCGTCTCCCCCCTCCCCCGCCCTGGCAGCGCTCGCGCCCCCTCCGAGGCGCACTCCCCGCCTCCTCGCTTCGCCCGCCGCCGGCCCCGCGGGAGCAGCCTAATTAATGGGACGAAGGCCAGGGGCGCGCGGCGCGGCGCGGCCAGGCCTCCTGCCCGTGAGGCGGCGCGGGCACGCGCCTTGCCGCGGCGCGTCTCCGCCCTCGCCTCCGCACCCGCCCCCGGCTTAACCTTACGAGTATTCGATCAATAACCGGCCCAAACTTCCCGCCCTTGTGGTATGTGTCAGCGGACGTCCGCCGGCTCCGCCGCCGCCGTCGCAGCAGCCGCCCCCGCCCCCGGGGTGCAAGCGGTCCCGGAGAAGGGCGAAGGCTGCCT